CACATGCTAGCTAGTTCATCACACAAACACAGTTACTTCTAATGTTTGTGTGTGTATATATATATATATATACACTATTTCTGGAGAAGGTGACCCTCTATATCCTTGGTCATGTCAAAGATATTACTCAAGTGAATGAGGGGTTCTGGGGTGTCTTCAGTTTTCTTTTCGTATTCAATTGTCCAAGTAGTCCACTGGTGGTCACAAGATGTTGTATAAACAAAGTAATTATACAACTCTAATAAATCTCCTTCAATAACTTTCCATTTGATCAATTTCTTGTGAGGATCGACGGCTTCAATTAAGTGCTTCATATACATTTCTTGTCCATCTATAATCATTAGAAACAGAAAATACAAGTGATGTTATCACTAGTTCAACTGTTCAATACCCTTGTGAAAGATTTAAACATTTACAAAATACTTTTGGTGAGAAAATTATATTTGTGATGTTACTACTATATATGATGATTTTTTTGTTATTACTAAAGATTAGTAAGTAATGTTCAAGTGTTAGTTGGAGGCTTGGAGCCAATTAATAAAAATGTAAAAGTTAAAATAATCTTAATTAAGAATTATTTCAAAAGTTAAAATAATTTATGCAAGTAAATCAAATAGAGATAGAGAGATAGAGTACGAAAAAATAATGTGTGTTACCTTCGTAATATTTCCAACTAACAATCGAACCAACCTTTATGATTTCACCTTCATGAACTTCAAAATGAGCGACATTTCTAGGACATATGTTGACTATATGATGAGTATTGGTGTGAAAAACCTCAAAAACCGAGTGTCCTCCACACTTCATCTCCAATGAAGCAATCAACTTACCTTTCAAACCCATATTTTCTATTTCTTAAGAATAGCAATACGTCGCTGAAAAAAGTGGTGAGAAAATATTTAGAACTTGTAGTCTTTATATAGATTTTAGTTAAATGTGGAATGCTAGCTAGTAGAAACATTATTCACCACATATCTACGAGTTAATAACATTTTGCACCCTCAATGTATTATCATTTTAGCTATTCACACCTTAACCTAATTTTAAAAAATAATTTATTACCTAACCTTTTACTATTATAGCAAAATTACCTTTAAAAAAAACTTACAAGGTATCATACATATTCCTTCAAAGTGTTAAATGTGAAACTTACAATGTTGTATGATAGAATAAACAAATATTTTTATAAGAACAAATATATAATTGTCAACGGTGAAATTAGAAATTTTATGAAAAATGTTTAAAATTTAAATATATATAAACATAATTTTTAACTTATGTACATAATATAATTTTTTATAAATATAATATAGTTTTCATTGAATAGTGTTTAATAACCACCTTCACTCTATATAGCTATGCCACTACAAACAGTTAATAGCACATGCCTATTGCAAAAAATAAAGAGCAACTTTCACATATAGCAAACATAAAAATCATATTTGTATGTTATATCTATAGTTTACATAATTACGCTCCATAACAAATTTTATGTTTGCTATGGAGTTTTTGATTTGTATAATTTGCTAGATACATCCAATTTTATATAAATTGTTCAGTTTTGTATAAATTCATTTATACATTGTAATTTGTATACTAAGATCTGTATTTATATAGTTATAAATGTATAAGATGAAAATATATGTAATTTGGTTGACGATAATATTATGAGTTAATTTTTCCGTATTGTATATGCGATCAATAAACTGCTCTCTGTTTTCTACATTGCTGTCACTCTTATTGGTCTATAAGGACTCTGAGTCTTAGACATTCATTGATCTGTCCAGCGTTATCCACAACTCACAAGAACATAAAAAAAATATTACTGTTTCTCTTAGAAGATGATTGTTCAGGTAGGAAAAGAAGAAGAGAACAACCAACTGTTCACGTGTTAAACTTGCGAAAGAGTTATTAAATATGATATATAGATAGTGATAGTTCAAGTAGGAAAAGAAAAAGAGAACAACCAATTGTTCACGTGTGAAATCCCGTTCTCTCTTCAATTAACTTGGGATCGAGTAAAAAGATCAAAACTTTGCAAGACAACTGCATCATTTTAAAGATTTTGACCCTGTTGCAAACTGTGCTACATGCCAGTGGTTAGATCGATAAGCTACCTTGGTTCTCTCTGTTTTCTACATTGTTGTCACTCTTAGTAGTCTCTTAGGATCTGGATGTAGTCAAATGTTACAAAGAAATTACTCCCTCTGTCCCAATTTATATGACACGTTTCGTTTTTCGAGAGTCAAACAGTTTAAGTTTGACCGAGATTTTGCTCATGAAATCTTCAAATCTTTTAAAATGAAATTCATATATTTATAAACTACATAAAAAGTACTATAAGTCACAATAATTGATAAGTCAAAATATTTAAAAGATATATGAAAAATTTACGGTCAAAGATAGACTTGTTTGAATCTCGAAATCCGAAATGTGTCACATAAATTGGGACAGAGGGAGTATTAAAATTGATGAAAAAGTAACACGCATAGGATGGATTACTAACAACAGAAAGAAAGAAGATATCAAATCTTGAGGAAAAATTAATCAGCTGATACCTGAAGGGGCAAAACTATCAACAGTAACAGAGGAAGACGAAGCAAGAGAGGTAGAGCTTTGATTTTGTCTACGGGAGTAGCTGTAGAGGCATCACTACAACTCTCAGTCTGAGGCATTAATTAACCTGTCCTGTGCTATCCAAAAGAACATAAAAAACCATCATTTTCCCCTTATAATACATAAATGGTGATAGCTTAGTTAGGAAAAGAAAAGGAGAACAAATTGTTCGCGGGTGAAAAAGTTATCAAGAATGATACGCACATACTCATAGTGATAGTTCAAGTAGGAAAAGAAAAGGAGAACCACCAATTGTTTGGAAAAGTAATAGGTCAAGTGTGTTTATTTCCATTATCTCTTCAATTAACTTGTCAAATGTGAATCTGATAACTGGGGAACTTGTGGATTGAAATTATATGTAGAAAACATTGCTTCGTTACCTCAAAGGAGGTCTTCCCAGAGTTAATAATATTGCAACATTCAGGCAGATGAGTACCGACTGCGTAATATAAGTTAGAATTGTCTTTAAAACTTTTCCTCATTTGTACTTCTGTTTCTTGCTTTGGTGTGATAGTGTTTTCCTCTGTAAACAGAAATTGTTATTTTTTCGGACACCAATTTTATATGCCACAACACTTGCTTGAGCTAGATTAGTACGTTGTGATTGATCCCTACCAGGCCAGCTGTTACCTCTCTACCTTAACACTTGAGATCGAGAAAATCCTTGGGACTAAAATAGTTTAGTGATCTGGAAATACACGAAATTTTTTATATATTCATGAAGGTACCGTGTTATAGCTACTATAATATTAATGGTGGTATTTATTTATATTTTCAAAGAAAAACGCATTATACTGGGATAGTGAATGTACGACCACCAACTCAACACCACTACATTTTAGTTTGATGGTTCCCTATTTCATGTTATAATTTGGATGCTTCATTGGAGGTATCTCGAGATTAGTTATATATAGTACTGTTAAATTAGGTCTTAGGCCTAACTCACATTCCAAAAGCTAGCTCAAAGGGAGGAGGATTGCCCAAACCTTATAAGGAGCCACCCATCTATTAACCATCAATGTGAGACTTTCGTCATTCTTTAACACCCCACCTCACGCCCAGTGCTTAGCATCTGGTGCGTGGGCAATTTTGATTTTGGGGGCCCCAACATCGGGTGAGATGGTCCCTGCTCTGATACCATGTTAAATTAGGTCTTAGGCCTAACTCACATTCCAAAAGCTAGCTCAAAGGGAGGAGGATTGCCCAAGCCTTATAAGGAGCCTACCTATCTCATTAACCACCAATGTGAGACTTTTTGCTTTAACACCAATTAACCACCGGTGTGGAACTTTTGTCATTCTATCTGGTAATATCATAGAGGACAACATGAGGAATGATGAAGTTACTCAAACTCCCGTTACAGGTGTTGAAAAAGATGTAAGAGGAGCAAAGGGTCATAGTATGCCAGAGGTGAGTAAGACTGTCGGTGTAGCTGCTGAGTCATCCCATGATCTGGTTGAAGCATGTGGAGATTTGGCAAGCTCCAGGATGCAAGAGGGTTCCCTCGTGGAGGTTTTTAAAGATAGTGATGATGGTATTAGAATTGGGTCCGTCTCACCCGATGTTGGGACCCCCAAAATAAAAAATTGCCACGCACCAGATGCTAAGCACTGGACGTGAGGTGGGGTGTTAAAGAATGACAAAAGTCCCACATCGGTGGTTAATGAGATGGGTGGACTCCTTATAAGGTTTGGGCAATCCTCCTCCCTTTGAGCTAGCTTTTGGGGTGTGAGTTAGACCTAAGACCTAATTTAACAAGTACCAATTAAACTTATTTCGACCATAGCACAGGCACCCTTTATCTAGTAAAATTATAAATGAAGGATGTCATATCTCAACCACAAAATAATAACTTTTTAGACTTTGCAAAATAACATACATCTTATAATAGAATATTAGAATTATGGTGGTCGATAAATGTCCATAATTTCTTAGATGCTACTTCCATTACTTCTCACCGTTATGATTGTAACCTAGTACATCTTTATAGCCTTCCTCACGATCTTAATGGTTAATCTCATGTTCATGACATTCTTTAGTATTCCTTAATATAAGCCCATAAATAAAGATTGTGGATCATACATGTATGTTATACATACTTTATACTTGGATAAATTTCGAAACACTTGAAACAATTAAGAAAGTTTTCTCTAACTAGTGAGATGGGAAAAACTTAATGACATCTTTTTTTTTGTTTCCCATCCAAAATATGGGAATTCAAATATAAGTCTAGATCGTGGATATTTTCACCCCAAACCTGGCACTGACATATGCAACATATTCATCAAAAATAACATTATTTATTCCACATGCTAGCTAGAACTTGTCAATTATTCATCACACAAACACACTTATTTCTAATGTGTGTGTATTATTATTATATATATATATATATATATATACACACACACTATTTCTTGAGAAGGTGATTTTCTATATCCATGGTCATGGCAAGGATAACACCTAAGTGAAGGAGGGGTTCTGGGGTATCTTCAGTTTTCTTTTCGTATTCAATTGTCCAAGTAGTCCACTCGCGTTCACAAGATGTTGTAAAATTACAATAATTATACAACTCTAATAAATCTCCTTCAATAACTTTCCATTTGATTAATTTCTTGTGAGGATCGACGGCTTCAATTAATTGCTTCATATACATTTCTTGTCCAGCTATTATCATTAGAAACAGAAAATAAAAGAGATCGTTATCACTAGTTCAACTGTTCAATACCTTACGAAAGATTTAAACATTTACAAAATATTATTTGGTGAGAAAATAATATTTGTGATGTTATTACTACTTTGATGAATGATTAGAAGTAATGTTTAAGTGTTAGTAGGAGCCAACAGAATTTTTTTTGTAAAAGTTAAAATAATTTTAATTAAGAATTAAATTTAAAATAATTTTAATTAAGAATTTCTTCCACCCATAAGCGAAAGAAGTTATATTCCTTTTATGAAAATTAAAGGATATACTTGTACTGTATTTATGAAAATTAAACACCATCGAATTTATTTTTTTCATGAAGTTTATTTTCTTAAAAATTAACTTTCTTATTAGTTATTTTCAAATACTCCAAATAGAGAAAATTTATGCAAGTAAATCATATTGAGAGAGAGATAGAGTGCAAAAAAATGTGTTACCTTGGTTATATTTCCAACTAACAATCGAACCAGTCTTTACGATTTCACCTTCATGAATCTCAAAATGAACGATATTTCTAGTACTTATATTGGGTACCTGATGAGTGCTGGTGTGAAAAATATCAAAAAACGAGCCCTCTCCACACTTCATCTCCATTGAAGCAATCAATTTACCTTTCAAACCCATATTTTCTACTTCTTAAGAATAGCGTTACGTTGTGAAAAAAAGTGATGAGAAAATATTTAGAACTTGTAATCTTTATATAAATTTTAATTAAATGTGAAATGCTAGCTAGTAGAAACATTATCCACCACATATCTACGAGTTAATAACATTTTAATTACACCCTTAATGTATAGCATTTTAGCTATTCACACCTTAACCTATTTTTTAAAAATAATTTGTTACCTAACCTTTTACTTTTATAGAAAAATTACCTTTAAAAAGAACTTACAAGGTATCACACATATTCCTTCAAAGTGTGATAGAATAAACAAATATTTTTATAAGAACAAATAATTGTCAACGGCGAAATTAGAAATTTTATTAAAAATGTTCAAAATTGAATATATATATATATATATATAAACATAATTTTTAACTTATTTACATCATATAATTTTTTATAAATATAATATAATTTTCATTATAGCACATGCCTAATGCAGAAAATAAATCATATCTATTTGTTTGATTTTCTTTTCCTAATACCTATTGGCACATGTCTATTGTGTGAGATATAAAATTATAAATGAAGGATGTCATATCTCAACCACAAAATAATATCTTTAGACTTTGCAAAATATGAAATAAAATAACAAATAAAATAACACACATCTTATAATAATGGAATATTAGAATTATGGTGCATGGTCGGTAAATGTTCATAACTTCTAAGATGTTACTTCCATTACTTCTCATTATTATGATTGTAACTCAGTACATCTTTATAACCTTCCTCATGATCTAAATGGTTAGTTTCATGTTTACGACACCCTTTAGTATTCCTTAATATAAGTCCATAAATAAAGCTATTGCGAATCATACATGTATGTTTTACATACTTGAATAAACTTCGAAACACTTGAAAGAAATAAAAAAGTTTCCTCTAACTAGTGAGATGGGAAAAACTAAATGACATCTTATTTTTTTTAGTTTCTCATCCAGAATATAGAAATTCAAATTCAAGCTCGGATCGTGGATATTTTGTTAGGGTTTTGCCCTGATTTTCTTACCATAATTTAAGATTTATTTTTCCTTAAAGAAAAAACAAAACATTACCATAAATGCTTTTACTTTTCTTGAAAGGAAAATATAATATTATTTTATATTTGGTTTATTCTCTCCTTTTAGGACTCTTTTTCTAGTAAGAAAACGTTTTAGTACTCTATAAATATAGGTTTGTTTCTTCTAACACAAAACAATACCATCCACAATGTAGTTGTTTAAGAGTCTTGTTTATGGGGAGATTTATTCTCTCTAAAGTTTCAATGTTTTTCTTTATATTAGTTTTGATA